CTTTACGGCATCAGAGCGCAAGGAGGCGCTGACACAATTCCCCTGTTCATAAGTGGGACCTTTATTGAGGGGTAATAAGAAATAAAAAGACATTGACAGCTGTTTACCTGACACTCGGTGCGTAACTTGCTGGCAACCAGATGACCAGCTCCACCTGTGCGTCGCCGAAATCCACGCGCACTCAGCGGCAAACACAGCTGTCCCATTGCAAGCACCACAAAACTGCAGTGATCTATTCCAGAGGCTTGGCGACGTTAGCAAAAAGTACGAGGCAAAAACAAGTGTCTTCCATCCATGTTTGACATACGAGAAGCAGATACACTCCAGTGTGGTCCGCTTTCACACCGGCAAAACGAACCAAAACTGGTCCGATTAACGAGCCTCTGTTCCGGTAAGAACAGCGATATCTCCAGTCAATACTGATGTTCCCTGTTAATACCGCGGGCGTCCTCATCTCAAATTATGAACTCATAAAACGCAACATAGAACTTTTACAAACTCACCGCATCAGTCCTGAGTTCGGGTAACAGCAGAAGCCAACAGCGTTCACGTAGCGCGCAGCTCCTCAGGACGGCGCTGGAGTCTGGTCCTTGGTCTTCTGTCGTCCTACAAGCGCGTTGGTCAGATGGTCCGGAGGCTCATCCTCCATGTGCTGGTTCCAGACGGTGGCGAGCAAGACCAGTGCGCAATGACTGGGTCTGAGACGTCCGCCGTCTGCGCGCTGGTTCCCTGTCCGTGCGGGGAAAGTGAGATGCGCTGTGACTACAGGTCGCTGCTCCTGTCCTCCGCGCTCAAGAACGCGGCTGGTTCCGAGGTTGCAAAGCATCCGGACAGAACGTGAATCCAGTTTACGCATTTGGTTCTTCCCGGGAAAAGCGCTTTTACTCCCCGCTCCACGTCATCTGAGCCCGGACAGAACGGAGCTGCTCCCGCTGGTTCGGGCTCTGGTTTGGATCTTGATTCTCACACTAGGCTAAAAGCAGGACATTTTTAAAGGTGAATCATGAATGGGCGATTGCGTATTGCCATAAAATTATTTGATTAATTAAAGCCTAAAATAAAAATGCTAGTTCCTACATGATCACGGGGAAACTGTGCAGGTCTGACAGAAGTCCTTTGAATCTGGAGGCAGCTCTATCTTCGTGTTTAATTCTCTTCCATTGTTGGTAAAATTTCGAAAATGAATCTGGACAATTGTACTCCGTACAGCGTCATTACAGGCGACGCGTTTTCCCTGACTTTAGTCGAACCTGCTCTTCACACCAAACGATGCGGTTCAAGCGAACCGGACCACCTCTTTTTGAGGTCTCTTAGTTGGTCCTCTGAATACTGGTTATGGCGTTTGGTCTGTCGGTGTGAAAGCACCTAATACAGGAGGCTCATGGCATCTTCAATCTATCCTGAGGTGCTTCCTCCGAAGCTTGCACAGGTTTCCGGATTTTTTGTTCTGAACCGTCTAGTGTATTTTGATTCCTGACCTAGTTGCTGGAGAGAAATGAAATTGAGCAGCACCAGTCTGGCTCGTACAAGCCTATTCAGCTAGTCAATTTCACAGTGGACCTGTTGTTAGAAGTGCTCTCAGTCTTATTTGTTATCGAGAAACCCTGAGTCAGAACACCGCTGGTGTGGCCGTCCTTGAGTTGACACAGTTGTGATTTCACAGGCTTACTCATGTAAAAGCTGACGAGCACAGTGTGTTTATGTCCTTGAGGCGTCTGAGATCAAATGTGCGTTTCATCTCCTCTCCTAACTCACCTGGCCATTTCAAAGAAGAACATTTTTAGCCTGGTCTTCCTTGGAAAGAAGCATAACAGAAATAAAAATGCTTTTCAAAGGAGATCATTGGACAAGAGAGAACACAGTACACGAACCCCCCAGACAGTGAAGTAAACAGAACTAAATCTAGTGCACCATGGGCCGCTCGAATAAACATCAACTTCAACGGCACCCTTTACAGTGTCTCAAAGTGTTGAGTTAAGTAATATATACAGTTACAGTTACAGTTATAGTTACAGTTACAGTTTGTAGTGTGCGCGTGAAGCTGAAGCCAAACATAAAACATGAGCCAAACTCCGCCAACATCTTTATCATCTTAGGTTCCAGTAAAAGCGAAATTCACAAATAAATACAGTGTCATAACTTTTCCACTGTGGAGCCTGAGTCTACACAGGCTATAATAAACAGTATTGCAGTTTTTGAGTATTTGTTAATGGCCACACTGGCTCATGGTGGCCATACCGGCTTGTCAAAACTAATCCCGTCAGATCTCAGAAGCTAAGTAAGGCCAGGCCTGGTTAGTACTTGGATGGGAGACCACTGGGAAAATCAGGTGTCACAGTGCGGCGTCATTGTGTCCTTAGGCAAGACACTTCACCCGCATTGTCTAGTATGAAAGCTTCCGTCAGTTTGCCCCAGGACAGCTGTGGCTACAATAGTAGCTTACCACTTCTGGGTATGAACTGAATGAATAATGCTGAATAATGCTCTGTAAAGACAAATGTCTGTGAAAGAGCACTATAAAAATAAAGACTTATTTTTATTATTAATTAAGTCTTAATCATGCTTTATTAAGCCTGTGAATATAGTTACTATAAAGTGTGTCCGTACCATAGTGTTTGAAGTAGTATTGTCTTAAATAAATATCATAAAAGAGAAATAAGTAAATACATTTTAAAATAAATGAAAATATATCCAAATAAATCAATGGAGAAATTCAAAAATTAGAACAGAAATGTAAAAACAAGCATATCATAGTTTTGTAATCCTCAGAATGTATGTGCATTAATGTGTAAAGGCATGTATGTATTTACATGTATTCACCGTTTAATTTAATACATTTATTTATTTATTTATTTATTCACTTCCAATTATTTCAAAAATATCAAAAACTGGAACTCAGTAAAGAAATAAATAAAGAATAAAAATAATGGAAAACACCTCAGAGATCAATTTTCAGGAGGCCAGTGGGATCCCGAGTGGAAAAATGTGAAATCTGAAACTCTTCTCAAAGAACAAATCCTGTCCTGACATCAACAATCCCCTAAACCAAAAAAAAAAAAAAAGATATTATGGCCTAAAAAGCAGACAAAAGTGCAAGCCATTGTATTTTTGACGTAGTTTTCTTCAAAAACGCTTCAAACTCAGCCAAAAGATACTAAGGCGACATTTACACAGAGTCGGGTATGTTGAGAAACAAATATTTCCCTCTCTCCTTTTTCCAAAATAACATCGTGCAAACAGCATCTGTAGCGACAATTTTAGTCCTAACCTTTAGTCGTTTCAGGGTGCAGGGGATCCAGGCCTAACGCGCTACCAGATTGGAACATTAGATTATAGAGCAGAAGGGAGTAGGATGGTGAATAGATGTTTAATAATATTACAGAGTTGAGTAGTTAAAGCTGGACCACCGGCCAGAAGGGGAGCGGTAAAAACCATGTGACCTCCTGTCACCCACACACCCAGTTCACTGATACCTGTGCATTTATATAGGGCTTGACTCCACTCTGCTCCCCTGTGGCCAAGCCAAATATAGGTCACCCTGTGCCCAGACAAACAGTGACCCAAATTAACCCCAACCTAAACAAAAGAAGAATGGCTTCTACAGCATTGTTTTCAAAAAAGTTTTCAACCTACATAAATTTGCCATCGAGCGCCGTCATAACTACACCAAGCCTCTGGGCGGCACCTGGATTAGATTGAAACCTGTAGCATTTATTTTTATTACAGTCGTAAGTATTACTCAAAAATACCTTGAAAAACATGTTTTACTGAGCAGGCTCGCCTCTCCACAGATCTGTTAAAGAAGTGGACAAATTGCTGAGCTCTGAGACTCATTGGTCTCTGGTCATGGATGTGAAACATCAGCTGTGTGCAAATGCAAACACATGAAAAGTGTTTACACCAGAAGAAATGCCACTGCTGCTCTGAATGCTTCATCATCATCATCATCAATCATCATCATCATCAGAGCAAAAGGGAAACATTGGTCACACTTTTGTTGCATTAACTCCTAAAACTCCATCAATCAATCAATCAAACTTTACTTACTTACTTTATTTATTATTTAGATTACTATCTATGACATAACTGTCTTTTTTACTACTATCTGGAAGCTGACACAATAATCTTTTTTTACAACTAATTATCTGGAACCAGTACACAAAGAAAAAAAAGAAACCTCTCCACAATATCAGCACATACAACAAAAACACAGTACTAGATCCTGCAGCCAGGGGGCGCTGGATACAACAGACCTGTCTGCCAATTCTGGGTGGGGCAAAAGCTGTGAGGGCGTAGAGAAAGTTGGAGAGGAGCAGAGCTCCCCTCCTGCTCCAGTCTCTCCAGAACTATTTGAAACCAGGTGACCTTGAGCAGGCCGGCGCTGGCTGGGGGAGGACAATAGATCAGATTCATCATGTTTTGGTTTTGGGTGGAGCAGCTGCTCTTTTAACAACAGCTCTGATTGTCTCTTGGTGTCAAGGTTTACACCCTGAGATGTTCTCCATACTGCGCTCCAAGGCCAAAGTCCCATCCAGTTTATCTCACTTTACACTCAAACACCAAACCATAGTTTTCCAGAATCTCCACTCTAGCTGGAGTTTTTAGAAAGATTCGTTTTCAGAGGCAAATTCACTGTGTACGTGTAAACGGGAACCAAACCCATGTGCGATTAAGCTTTATCATCGTTACATTTTGGATAAGATCCTCTGTGTGGTCATATTATATATATATATATATATATATATATATATATATATATATATATATATATATATATATATATATATATATATATATATATATTATATTTTTTTTTTTTTTTTTTTTTTTTTTTAAACTACTTACATTTTTGATTGGAAAAATCCACTAGAAGGTACATGCTATTTTGTGAGCTGAACTGCTATTTTGAACAGGCGGACAGGAGGGCATCTGACACACAGGGATACGAGAGGACGGGAGGGCATCTGACACACAGGGATACGGGAGGACGGGAGGGCTCTTTACTGCCCCCTCAGGCTAAAGCCCGACACCATGTTTTCAACTTCTTGTATTTTTTCCGGAGCAGGAACAGTGAGGACAGCTTTCAGGAAGCAGAACCCCCTAAGAGGAACAGAAATGAGTCAGTTAGATTTGTTATTTCGATCTTGAACCATGTGTAGTTCAGTCTTACTTTGAGTTTTTTATGTTCACAGTGAAAAAACGGCAAGGTGGTGTTTCAGAGCAGGCTTTTCGACAACCTTCGACATCATCCACATTGACCATTTTAATGTTCGAACCAGGGAACGCCAAACCAGGATAAAGCTCAGTCACCCAACCTGAGGAGAGACGAGAGGGTCAGAGGAGTAGGAAAGGGTCAGGTGTAGAAAAGGATCAGAAGAGAGGGGCGGTGGAGCAGAGGAGAGGGTCAGATGGTGCAGAGGATCTCTTACTGCTGTCCTGTTGACAAAAGCGGGAGGGCACTCCGGAGATGAGTCCTGCAGAGTTTGTGGAAGCTGAGTTTGTCCTTTGTAAAATGTAACAATAAGGTCTGAAAACACAAGAGACACACATGTTTAATCTAGAGAAATCCAGAGAAACAAGAACAGAAGGTCTTCGGCAGGTCTTCAGCAGGTCTTCAGCTGGTCTTCAGCAGGTCTTCAGCTGGTCTTCAGCAGGTCTTCAGCAGGTCTTCAGCTGGTCTTCAGCTGGTCTTCAGCAGGTCTTCAGCAGGTCTTCTGGAAGTCTTCAGCAGGTCTTCAGCAGGTCTTCAGCAGGTCTTCGGCAGGTCTTCAGCAGGTCTTCAGCAGGTCTTCTGGAGCAGTCTTCAGCAGGTCTTCGGCAGGTCTTCGGCAGGTCTTCTGGAAGTCTTCAGCAGGTCTTCAGCACGTCTTCTGGAAGTCTTCAGCAGGTCTTCGGGAGGTCTTCAGCAGGTCTTCAGCTGGTCTTCAGCAGGTCTTCAGCAGGTCTTCTGGAAGTCTTCAGCAGGTCTTCGGCAGGTCTTCAGCAGGTCTTTGGCAGGTCTTCAGCAGGTCCTCGGCAGGTCTTCAGCAGGTCTTCTGGAAGTCTTCAGCAGGTTTTTGGCAGGTCTTCGGCAGGTCTTCGGCAGGTCTTCAGCAGGTCTTCTGGAAGTCTTCAGCAGGTCTTCAGCACGTCTTCTGGAAGTCTTCAGCAGGTCTTCGGGAGGTCTTCAGCAGGTCTTCAGCTGGTCTTCAGCAGGTCTTCTGGAAGTCTTCAGCAGGTCTTCGGCAGGTCTTCAGCAGGTCTTTGGCAGGTCTTCAGCAGGTCCTCGGCAGGTCTTCAGCAGGTCTTCTGGAAGTCTTCAGCAGGTTTTTGGCAGGTCTTCAGCAGGTCTTCAGCAGGTCTTCTGGAAGTCTTCAGCAGGTCTTCGGCAGGTCTTCAGCAGGTCTTCAGCAGGTCTTTGGCAGGTCTTCAGCAGGTCTTCTGGAAGTCTTCGGCAGGTCTTGGGCAGGTCTTCCGCAGGTTTTCAGCAGATCTTTGGCAGGTCTTCAGCAGATCTTCAGCAGGTCTTGGGCAGGTCTTCTGCAGGTCTTGGGATGGTCTTCAGCAGATCTTCAGCAGGTCTTTGGCAGGTCTTGGACAGGTCTTCAATAGATAGGTGTAGTGTGTGTGTGCGCGTGTGTGTGTGTGTGTGTGTGTACCTGTCGTAGGTGTAGTGGGTGCACAGGGGGTGGGCAGAGCACAGGGTCTGGCAGTGGCCTGGACTCACGGCTGGTTCCTTCGAGAGCAGAGTGGAGCCCTGTCTGAAGTCTGTGTCCGACAGGAGTGTCACCGCACAGTCTGAAATATAAACCCTCTTTAGACCTGAGCTAGTTCTGGTTCAGTCCTGGTTCAGACCTGTTATGACGTTTGAGATTCTGAAGTCCTTTTTATCGTTGAACCCTGAGGTGGCTCTGTCTACCAGTTCTACCCGACGAATCCGAGGAACCTTCCACGAGAACATCAAAGAGCACATCAACCTGCAACCACACAAATATGTCAGATGCCTTTCCTGTGCCTCAGATGCCCTCCCCCATGTGTCAGATGTTGTCCAGTACCCACCTGCTGGCCTGGTCCTTGTGCTGGGGGCTGGTCCAGGTGAAGAAGCTGCAGTCTGGGTCGTGGGTGCAGACTCGCTGACACTCCAGGGCATCAGGAGTAAAGAGCAAGCGATAGTTGGACTGAATGAACGCCACGTTTGGGTAAAGGCTTTTCAGGCACGGAGCTGTGCACACGAGCACAACACACAGTATAATACACAACGCAATACACAACAGACCATACAACACATAATATAATACACAATACAATACACAACACAACATCCATCCATCCATCCATTTTCGTCCGCTTATCCAGGGCCGGGTCGCGGGGGCAGCAGCCTAAGCAGGGACTCCCAGACTTCCTTCACCCCAGACACGTCCTCCAGCTCCTCCGGGGGGACCCCGAGGCGTTCCCAGGCCAGCCGAGAGACATAGTCCCTCCAGCGTGTCCTGGGTCTTCCCCGGGGCCTCCTCCCGGTGGGACATGCCCAGAACACCTCCCGAGGGAGGCGCCCAGGAGGCATCCGGAACAAATGCCCGAGCCACCTCAACTGGCTCCTCTCGACGTGGAGGAGCAGCGGCTCTACTCCGAGCTCCTCCCGTGTGACTGAGCTCCTCACCCTATCTCTAAGGGAGCGCCCAGCCACCCTGCGGAGGAAACTCATTTCGAGCGCTTGTATCCGCGATCTCGTCCTTTCGGTCACTACCCAGAGCTCATGACCACACAACACAACATACAATATAATACACAATATGACAGACAATACACACAATAATACACACACAATAATAATAACAATGTCACTGTTGCTCCACAATACACAACACAATACAAAAATCATCTGTGTAGTACCTGTGTGTAGTACTGTGAATATGAGCAGAGTTTGAGCATGTAGTACTGTCTAGTGCTGTAGTACTGTGTAGTCCCTGTACATGTGGGGCAGGGTAGGAATGAGTACTGTAGTACTAGAGTAGTGTGTAGTACCTGTGTAAGTGGGGCAGGGTAGGAGTGAGTACTGTAGTAGTGTGTAGTACCTGTGTACTTGGGGCATGGTAGTAGAGAGTATTGTAGTAGTGTGTAGTACCTGTGTACTCGGGGCATGGTAGTAGAGAGTATTGTAGTAGTGTGTAGTACCTGTGTACTCGGGGCATGGTAGTAGAGAGTATTGTAGTAGTGTGTGTAGTACCTGTGTACTCGGGGCATGGTAGTAGAGTATTGTAGTAGTGTGTAGTACCTGTGTACTCGGGGCATGGTAGTAGAGAGTATTGTAGTAGTGTGTGTAGTACCTGTGTACTCGGGGCATGGTAGTAGAGAGTATTGTAGTAGTGTGTAGTACCTGTGTACTCGGGGCATGGTAGTAGAGAGTATTGTAGTAGTGTGTAGTACCTGTGTACTCGGGGCATGGTAGTAGAGAGTATTGTAGTAGTGTGTAGTACCTGTGTACTCGGGGCATGGTAGTAGAGAGTATTGTAGTAGTGTGTAGTACCTGTGTACTCGGGGCATGGTAGTAGAGAGTATTGTAGTAGTGTGTAGTACCTGTGTACTCGGGGCATGGTAGTAGAGAGTATTGTAGTAGTGTGTAGTACCTGTGTACTCGGGGCATGGTAGTAGAGAGTATTGTAGTAGTGTGTAGTACCTGTGTACTCGGGGCATGGTAGTAGAGAGTATTGTAGTACTGTAGTAGTGTGTAGTACCTGTGTACTCGGGGCATGGTAGTAGAGAGTATTGTAGTAGTGTGTAGTACCTGTGTACTCGGGCATGGTAGTAGAGAGTATTGTAGTAGTGTGTAGTACCTGTGTACTCGGGGCATGGTAGTAGAGAGTATTGTAGTAGTGTGTAGTACCTGTGTACTCGGGGCATGGTAGTAGAGAGTATTGTAGTAGTGTGTAGTACCTGTGTACTCGGGGCATGGTAGTAGAGAGTATTGTAGTAGTGTGTAGTACCTGTGTACTCGGGGCATGGTAGTAGAGAGTATTGTAGTAGTGTGTAGTACCTGTGTACTCGGGCATGGTAGTAGAGAGTATTGTAGTAGTGTGTAGTACCTGTGTACTCGGGGCATGGTAGTAGAGAGTATTGTAGTAGTGTGTAGTACCTGTGTACTCGGGGCATGGTAGTAGAGAGTATTGTAGTAGTGTGTAGTACTGTGTAATCGGGGCATGGTAGTAGAGAGTATTGTAGTAGTGTGTAGTACCTGTGTACTCGGGGCATGGTAGTAGAGAGTATTGTAGTAGTGTGTAGTACCTGTGTACTCGGGGCATGGTAGTAGAGAGTATTGTAGTAGTGTGTAGTACCTGTGTACTCGGGGCATGGTAGTAGAGAGTATTGTAGTAGTGTGTAGTACCTGTGTACTCGGGGCATGGTAGTAGAGAGTATTGTAGTAGTGTGTAGTACCTGTGTACTCGGGGCATGGTAGTAGAGAGTATTGTAGTAGTGTGTAGTACCTGTGTACTCGGGGCATGGTAGTAAGAGAGTATTGTAGTAGTGTGTAGTACCTGTGTACTCGGGGCATGGTAGTAGAGAGTATTGTAGTAGTGTGTAGTACCTGTGTACTCGGGGCATGGTAGTAGAGAGTATTGTAGTAGTGTGTAGTACCTGTGTACTCGGGGCATGGTAGTAGAGAGTATTGTAGTAGTGTGTAGTACCTGTGTACTCGGGGCATGGTAGTAGAGAGTATTGTAGTAGTGTGTAGTACCTGTGTACTCGGGGCATGGTAGTAGAGAGAGTATTGTAGTAGTGTGTAGTACTGTGTACTCGGGGCATGGTAGTAGAGAGTATTGTAGTAGTGTGTAGTACCTGTGTACTCGGGGCATGGTAGTAGAGAGTATTGTAGTAGTGTGTAGTACCTGTGTACTCGGGGCATGGTAGTAGAGAGTATTGTAGTAGTGTGTAGTACCTGTGTACTCGGGGCATGGTAGTAGAGAGTATTGTAGCAGTGTGTAGTACCTGTGTACTCGGGGCATGGTAGTAGAGAGTATTGTAGTAGTGTGTAGTACCTGTGTACTCGGGGCATGGTAGTAGAGAGTATTGTAGTAGTGTGTAGTACCTGTGTACTCGGGGCATGGTAGTAGAGAGTATTGTAGTAGTGTGTAGTACCTGTGTACTCGGGGCATGGTAGTAGAGAGTATTGTAGTAGTGTGTAGTACCTGTGTACTCGGGGCATGGTAGTGTAGAGAGTATGTGTAGCAGTGTGTAGTACCTGTGTACTCGGGGCATGGTAGTAGAGAGTATTGTAGCAGTGTGTAGTACCTGTGTACTCGGGGCATGGTAGTAGAGAGTATTGTAGTACTGTAGTAGTGTGTAGTACCTGTGTACTCGGGGCATGGTAGTAGAGAGTATTGTAGTACTGTAGTAGTGTGTAGTACCTGTGTACTCGGGGCATGGTAGTAGAGAGTATTGTAGTAGTGTGTAGTACCTGTGTACTCGGGGCATGGTAGTAGAGAGTATTGTAGTAGTGTGTAGTACCTGTGTACTCGGGGCATGGTAGTAGAGAGTATTGTAGTAGTGTGTAGTACCTGTGTACTCGGGGCATGGTAGTAGAGAGTATTGTAGTAGTGTGTAGTACCTGTGTACTCGGGGCATGGTAGTAGAGAGTATTGTAGTAGTGTGTAGTACCTGTGTACTCGGGGCATGGTAGTAGAGAGTATTGTAGTAGTGTGTAGTACCTGTGTACTCGGGGCATGGTAGTAGAGAGTATTGTAGTAGTGTGTGTAGTACCTGTGTACTCGGGGCATGGTAGTAGAGAGTATTGTAGTAGTGTGTAGTACCTGTGTACTCGGGGCATGGTAGTAGAGAGTATTGTAGCAGTGTGTAGTACCTGTGTACTCGGGGCATGGTAGTAGAGAGTATTGTAGTAGTGTGTAGTACCTGTGTACTCGGGGCATGGTAGTAGAGAGAGTATTGTAGCAGTGTGTAGTACCTGTGTACTCGGGGCATGGTAGTAGAGAGTATTGTAGTAGTGTGTAGTACCTGTGTACTCGGGGCATGGTAGTAGAGAGTATTGTAGCAGTGTGTAGTACCTGTGTACTCGGGGCATGGTAGTAGAGAGTATTGTAGTAGTGTGTAGTACCTGTGTACTCGGGGCATGGTAGTAGAGAGTATTGTAGTAGTGTGTAGTACCTGTGTACTCGGGGCATGGTAGTAGAGAGTATTGTAGTAGTGTGTAGTACCTGTGTACTCGGGGCATGGTAGTAGAGAGTATATGTAGTAGTGTGTAGTACCTGTGTACTCGGGGCATGGTAGTAGAGAGTATTGTAGTAGTGTGTAGTACCTGTGTACTCGGGGCATGGTAGTAGAGAGTATTGTAGTAGTGTGTAGTACCTGTGTACTCGGGGCATGGTAGTAGAGAGTATTGTAGTAGTGTGTAGTACCTGTGTACTCGGGGCATGGTAGTAGAGAGTATTGTAGTAGTGTGTAGTACCTGTGTACTCGGGGCATGGTAGTAGAGAGTATTGTAGTAGTGTGTAGTACCTGTGTACTCGGGGCATGGTAGTAGAGAGTATTGTAGCAGTGTGTAGTACCTGTGTACTCGGGGCATGGTAGTAGAGAGTATTGTAGTAGTGTGTAGTACCTGTGTACTCGGGGCATGGTAGTAGAGAGTATTGTAGTAGTGTGTAGTACCTGTGTACTCGGGGCATGGTAGTAGAGAGTATTGTAGCAGTGTGTAGTACCTGTGTACTCGGGGCATGGTAGTAGAGAGTATTGTAGCAGTGTGTAGTACCTGTGTACTCGGGGCATGGTAGTAGAGAGTATTGTAGTAGTGTGTAGTACCTGTGTACTCGGGGCATGGTAGTAGAGAGTATTGTAGTAGTGTGTAGTACCTGTGTACTCGGGGCATGGTAGTAGAGAGTATTGTAGTAGTGTGTAGTACCTGTGTACTCGGGGCATGGTAGTAGAGAGTATTGTAGCAGTGTGTAGTACCTGTGTACTCGGGGCATGGTAGTAGAGAGTATTGTAGTAGTGTGTAGTACCTGTGTACTCGGGGCATGGTAGTAGAGAGTATTGTAGTAGTGTGTAGTACCTGTGTACTCGGGGCATGGTAGTAGAGAGTATTGTAGCAGTGTGTAGTACCTGTGTACTCGGGGCATGGTAGTAGAGAGTATTGTAGCAGTGTGTAGTACCTGTGTACTCGGGCATGGTAGTAGAGAGTATTGTAGTAGTGTGTAGTACCTGTGTACTCGGGGCATGGTAGTAGAGAGTATTGTAGTAGTGTGTAGTACCTGTGTACTCGGGGCATGGTAGTAGAGAGTATTGTAGCAGTGTGTAGTACCTGTGTACTCGGGGCATGGTAGTAGAGAGTATTGTAGCAGTGTGTAGTACCTGTGTACTCGGGGCATGGTAGTAGAGAGTATTGTAGCAGTGTGTAGTACCTGTGTACTCGGGGCATGGTAGTAGAGAGTATTGTAGTAGTGTGTAGTACCTGTGTACTCGGGGCATGGTAGTAGAGAGTATTGTAGCAGTGTGTAGTACCTGTGTACTCGGGGCATGGTAGTAGAGAGTATTGTAGCAGTGTGTAGTACCTGTGTACTCGGGGCATGTAGTAGAGAGTATTGTAGTAGTGTGTAGTACCTGTGTACTCGGGGCATGGTAGTAGAGAGTATTGTAGTAGTGTGTAGTACCTGTGTACTCGGGCATGGTAGTAGAGAGTATTGTAGTAGTGTGTAGTACCTGTGTACTCGGGGCATGGTAGTAGAGAGTATTGTAGCAGTGTGTAGTACCTGTGTACTCGGGGCATGGTAGTAGAGAGTATTGTAGTAGTGTGTAGTACCTGTGTACTCGGGGCATGGTAGTAGAGAGTATTGTAGTAGTGTGTAGTACCTGTGTTACTCGGGGCATGGTAGTAGAGAGTATTGTAGTAGTGTGTAGTACCTGTGTACTCGGGCATGGTAGTAGAGAGTATTGTAGTAGTGTGTAGTACCTGTGTACTCGGGGCATGGTAGTAGAGAGTATTGTAGTAGTGTGTAGTACCTGTGTACTCGGGGCATGGTAGTAGAGAGTATTGTAGTAGTGTGTAGTACCTGTGTACTCGGGGCATGGTAGTAGAGAGTATTGTAGTAGTGTGTAGTACCTGTGTACTCGGGGCATGGTAGTAGAGAGTATTGTAGCAGTGTGTAGTACCTGTGTACTCGGGGCATGGTAGTAGAGAGTATTGTAGTAGTGTGTAGTACCTGTGTACTCGGGGCATGGTAGTAGAGAGTATTGTAGTAGTGTGTAGTACCTGTGTACTCGGGGCATGGTAGTAGAGAGAGTATTGTAGTAGTGTGTAGTACCTGTGTACTCGGGGCATGGTAGTAGAGAGTATTGTAGTAGTGTGTAGTACCTGTGTACTCGGGGCATGGTAGTAGAGAGTATTGTAGTAGTGTGTAGTACCTGTGTACTCGGGGCATGGTAGTAGAGAGTATTGTAGTAGTGTGTAGTACCTGTGTACTCGGGCATGGTAGTAGAGAGTATTGTAGTAGTGTGTAGTACCTGTGTACTCGGGGCATGGTAGTAGAGAGTATTGTAGTAGTGTGTAGTACCTGTGTACTCGGGGCATGGTAGTAGAGAGTATTGTAGTAGTGTGTAGTACCTGTGTACTCGGGGCATGGTAGTAGAGAGTATTGTAGTAGTGTGTAGTACCTGTGTACTCGGGGCATGGTAGTAGAGAGTATTGTAGTAGTGTGTAGTACCTGTGTACTCGGGGCATGGTAGTAGAGAGTACCCTGAGGTGACGTTGGGGATTTGGGCCTTGGCGAGAGGTTCACCGCTCGAGGTTTGTTTCAGTTCACACTTGAACCTGCACACACATGTGTCAGACGCCCTCCCGTGTGTCTGATGCCCTCCCTGTCCCTCAGTTTGCATCAGATGCCCTCCCTGTCCCTCAGTTTGCGTCAGATGCCCTCCCTCTCACCTGTCCTTGCTGTCGGTGTACTTTTGGGTGCTGAACATGAAGAAGTGGCAGAGCGGGTGCTGGGTGCAGAGGAGCTGACAGTGTGTGGCCTCAGACGCCGACATCGTGTCCACAACAGTCCCCATGAAACCAGTGTCCCACACCAGCTCTGTGAGGCACTCTGACAACACACAAGACCTGCTTTAGACCTGGTTCAGTCCTGGTTCAGTCCTGGTTCAGTTCTGGTTCAGTCCTGGTCCTGGTTCAATCCTGGTTTTGTGCTGGTTCAGTCCTGGTTTAGATGTTGTTTAGACATTGTTTAGTCCTGGTTTAGACCTGGTTCAGTCCTGGTTCAGTCTTTCTTCAGTCCTGGTTTAGTCCTGGTTCAGTCCTGGTTTAGTCCTGGTTTAGTCCTGGTTCAGTCCTGGTTCAGTCCTGATTTAGTCCTGGTTCAGTCCTGATTTAGTCCTGGTTCAGTCCTGGTTTAGTCCTTGTTCAGTCCTGGTTTAGTCCTGGTTTAGTCCTGGTTCAGTCCTGGTTCAGTCCTGGTTTAGTCCTGGTTTAGTCCTGGTTCAGTCCTGGTTTAGTCCTGGTTTAGTCCTGGTTCAGTCCTGGTTCAGTCCTGGTTTAGTCCTGGTTTAGTCCTGGTTCAGTCCTGTTTAGTCCTGGTTCAGTCCTGGTTTAGTCCTGGTTCAGTCCTGGTTCAGTCCTGGTTTAGTCCTGGTTCAGTCCTGGTTTAGTCCTGGTTCAGTCCTGGTTCAGTACCTTGTCCATAGCAGTAGGAGCAGAGACAGAGGAGTAGCAGGAGGAGACGTTCCATGTTTTTTCTGGCTCTGGTCTGGTCCTGGTCTGACTCTGGTCTGGTTCTAGTCCAGCTCTGGTCCTCGTGTGTTTCTTGTCTCTGGATTTAAAGTGGAGCTGGTGTTGACCAAAGAGGAGCGTCTCCAGAGATGATTTAACATTTTGTGTCCAGGATGTTGAACAGGCTGAAGGTCAGAGCGTTTACACAACATCATTTACACAAAAGGCTACAGAGAAGAGCGAGATGTTCCGTAATGACTTTAAGTATCCTGGTCTTAACATTTAGGACGGGTGTGGCCCTTCTGTTCTTATACTTTTATTTTTATTGTCTCCTTTACAAGTTTAAAGCTCATATTACACCATTTTCTATCTATGTTATAATGCTGTGTCCTAATCAAGAACATATCTGGAGTTCTGGTTTAGTCCTGGTTCAATCTTGGTTTAGTCCTGGTTCAGTCCTAGTTTAGTCCTTATTTAGTCCTGGTTCAGTTCTTTTTAGATCTTGTTTAGACAATGTTTAGACCTGATTTAGTCCAGGTTCAGTCCTGGTTGTGGTTCAGTTCTGGTTTAGTTCTGGTTCAGTCCTGGTTTAGTCCTGGTTCAATCCTGTTTTATTCCTGTTTTAGTCCTGTTTTAGTCCTGTTTTAGTCCTGGTTTAGTCCTGGTTCAGTCCTGTTTGAGCTCTGGTTCAGTCCTGGAGTTAAAAAACATGCATTTACAAGCGTCAATTTAGCGTAATATAGGACCTTTTAAGCAGCAATTATAGTCCGGAAAATACTGCACATAAGTTGCTCTGGCCAAAAAAATACATAATAAGGAAGAAAAATTTATAATGAATATGAGTCACACCAGACTGTAACTCACAATTCTTTAGGGAAATTTATTTAAAAAATCAGAGACCAGGAACCGACATTTCCTGTTGAAAGTCAAGTTGGAGTAATAACAATAGAAGAGAGAACAACAGACTGTTAACGTCACATATGAACAGTTCTTCAGATAAACTATAACATAAACAACAGAACAGAACAAGTTTAACAAACTCTCCATCTCACTCCAAATCACTAAATCCATTCAATTCTTCATCCTCGGTGTCACTTCTGAGCAACTCTATCAACTCTAGGTAAACCTAGCTTTTTGTTTTCTTCAGTGCACTTAGAGTATCTTCTGCTTTTCGTCAGTCCCTCGCAAGTTTCTCGCTCACTCCAAACTTTCTTTCTGCTGCTAGATTATCATTTTCAGCTTCATATTTCACTACTTGCAGCTTGTCATCGGCAGAATATGATTAACAGTTCATTGCCGTGTGATAAAATAAGTTATGACGCTAAATTAACATTAGTGAGCGGGATAAGTCTTACCATACGTAACACCCGTACATGTTAAATGCAGGTGAGTGCATAAATGATGAGAAGCAATGTCTAAAACTTCAGTAGCCGGACATCCACTCATACCTGATTGATACAAGTAAACTAGCCCCCTGGGAGAGTCTGAAATCTGCTGAAATCTACAAGACACTGACATGATACAGACAGAACAGAGGCTCTATGTTATTAGGTTCTTTTTTCAGACCGAGAGTTTTGTTTCATACCTGACAGTTTGGACTGCTCACTAGTGCTCTTCTTCAGAGTGGTCATGTGATGTTGCTGTGACGTGTCGCTCAGCTGATTTAAACAGGTTTTGGTGCTGTCTTCCTACCGGTGGAGGCAGGACGACAGCGCCATCTGCAGTCCCACTTCCTCAGGACAGTATCCCAGGTGTGTGAGAGTAAAAAAGTCCACTCATCCCAGTTTATAGTCCTGTGGACACGTTTCCATATTTCGATTGTCTCTTTAATCCAGCGACGATGTTTGTTTTCCTCTGTCCCAATGATGTTTGCTCTGTTCCAGTCCATAATGTGGTTCTCTCTTTTACACTGGTCAGAAATGGCTGGTTTGAGTTGTTCCTGTTCTGCTTTGTGTTTTGTTGCTCGTGTTTCCTTCTTGCATTCTGTCCTATGTTCCTTTTTTCCCTTCCTGTTTCCCCGATGTGTGTTTTATTGCAGGACATGCAGGGTATTTCGTATATGATGTTACATTTATGCTCCGGTTCTATTTTCACACCTGGGATTCTGTCCTGAGGAAGTGGGACTGCAGATGGCGCTGTCGTCCTGCCTCCACCGGTAGAAAGACAGCACCAAAACTTGTTTAAATTAGCTGACCAGACACGTCACAGCAACATCACGTGATCACTCTGAGGAAGAGCACTAGTGAGCAGTCCAAACTGTCAGCTATGAAACAAAACTCTTGGTCTGAATAAAGTACCTAATAACATAAAATATCGGAAGACCAAATGAATTTCATTGGACGAGGACAGAGGCTCTTTCTGCAGGAGACATGTGCAGTAGAGTAAGAAGTAACAGTGGTACAGGAGGAACAGGAGCAGCAGATACTGACACACAAGACTAGAGCGACCTTTCACAACTCTCAGTGTGAAAATAAACAAGTGAAATTATACTGTGTATTTTAATATATGCAGTGTTGGGGAGTAACAGATTACCTGTACCAAAGTTACGTAATCAGAGTACAAATTTTGAGTAACTGTATTTGGTTACAGTTACTGTTTCCATGAGTTGTAATTGGATTACAGTTACTGTGTTGAAGTAAATGGATTACACAGTGGTATTTTCCTGTTTTCACATTTGAGGTTATACCCCCCCCTTTTTTTTCTTTTTTTTTTTTTCTTCGGTAATTCCACTCATTGCCGGAAACTAAACCAGGTCTAAACCAGGACTAAAGCAAGACTAAAACCAGGTCTAAAACCTGGTCTAAACCAGGTCTATAACAGGTCTAAACCAGGTCTAAACCAGGACTAAAGCAAGACTAAAACCAGGTCTAAACCAGGTCCGAAACAGATCTAAACCAGGTCTAAACCACCGTGGAAGGTGAGAAACACATTTTATATATATATATGTGTGTGTGTGTGTGTTTTACCTTTAAGTAGATGGTAAATTAAATTGACATTATTAATTTGACTATAGCAAAAAATAAATAAATAAATAAAAATAAATAAATAATGTTGCAAATTTGTGACAACTAGAAAACAAGTGCTTGCCAAAGGTTCCTAGGAAGGTCCTGCATATGAACTAGCCACCACTGGAGGCCACTATCTCGTTTATATCTTGATCCAAACGGTTTGTTGTATATTTGTGACTGCTGCAAGACATCGCCTGACACTTCTGAGGAAAGCGGCAAAATGTAGCCCAAACTGTCAAGGTATGAAACAAACAGAAGAAACTAAAGTATAATTTAGTGCAAACTAGATAAAGTTCCAGTAGTTGGTGACATCACGCAGCACACATACAAACAGCAGCTGCAGGGGGCGGAGTTTAAGTGTAGATACAATCTACACTGCAATCACACTGTTCCTTATCCACATTCTCCTTCCCCCTCCCCTTTAGTCCTTACACATGCTCTCTGTGTCTCTAGATACGAGGTAAACATGTTAGAATCAAAGATAACTTTACTGATCACAACTGTAATGATGATTTACTCTTAATTATAAAAACATTGTTTTGTTGGAGCTGTTCTACTTTTATCACATGTAGTAAATTTGAGTTGTAGCAAAGTCGTTCGAGGTGAAAGTCCTTTAAAGGTTGTATGGAGGATTTTTTTTTTGTTTCAAGTTGTCAATGATAGCATTATAGAGGTGCAGTAGTGTTGTAATTATGATGACCAAAAAAAAGAGAATAAAAATTCATCAACTCTGGATGTGGTGGAGGTAAACATTTGCCAATAGATAACGACACTGCCTCGTTATCTGTGAGCTTATATTCTGTCAGTCAAACTCCCTATGTTTCTAGTGTAACTGACTTGCCTGCGCGCTGCCGTTACGTGGTTTACGTACGACTGTCACGCAGTCCACAGACGCAAGACGCACAGACGCTGTTTACTCCACCAACGCAACAGTTCTTAGCGGCTTTTTTTGACCTATATCTTCCTCGCAGTTAGCACAAAGTTTGTTGCAATGGCGACAAGAATCCAGGAGCAGTTAGCCGCAAAAGAAAGTCCGTTTTTGAGGTCGCTGAAAGAAGAAGACAAGGGGAAAAGTAGCGAAGCCAAACTAAGGTGATTCTTGGAGATTCATTCCAGCGATGGCGCGACTGAAGCAGACGCAGGGTCTAAAGACTGACGCACTGGTCGCACAAATTACTCCTGGACAGGTCACTTCTGCTTATTATGAAAACGTACTTTATTTCCAAGAGCTAGTCAAACGTTTTCCAGGACACGAATGCGATATCCTATGTCTGAAAACGTAATTTTCAAGGCAAGAAAAGAGTCCGCTCCTGCTCCTGTCTGCGTGTTGTCAGCTA